ACACTATCAACATTCTTCCTGACAAAAAGACTTTCAACTCATACTTACTAAAATTATAATTGGGGCGATGTCCAACAAAGTCACACCCTTTTTTAGCTACAGATAGATAGGTAGGTACAGAGCGAGTGTGTGGGGATGTGTGGGGACGTAAATATATTCATATATTCATTCTCAGCATACTCTGCACAACTTCATGCCTTCAAATGCATCCCAGTTTAGAGATCTAGAGATTACCTGATTCATTTTATTTAAATTACATGTATGTGTAATTTTTAAATGTTTTCCTAGAGTAAAAGAACCTTTAAGAGCAAAATAAATTGCACATTTCACCATCATCTAATTTATAGTTACACTTTAAGGATATGTAGGACAAACATGTTTAAAAATAAATATTTCAATAATATCAAACAAGCTTCCAACTTTTCTAATAAAGAGAACCTTTCTCCAATTAAACTGAACTCAAGAGCAACTAAGGTCAGGGTGTCAGGCGTCAGACACTGTCCCAGGCCCTCAGGGCCCAGAGACGGAAAGGCTGGGCCTCGTGCTCAAGCTCAGGCTCGTGAAACAAACACCACACCGCCCTTCCATCGAGTACACACCTGCATTTTCTGCTTGACGTTCACCTGACAAGGAAAGACGCTCTTTTCTTCAGCATTCCTTTTTCCCTCCAACTTTGAAGTAGCATCTTCCTTCTGAGCAATCTGCTTAATTGAAGGACGGTCTGTTTCTTTGAATCTCTGAGATCTGTACGCATCGATGCTTCAGGAAACAGTTACACTCTGTTAGAAATCCAGCAACACCCTAGCACTATCTTTTATTCAGCATCTCAGCAGAACACTTCGCCAGAATGGGAAATGCCACTGGGCAAAAGAGAAGCTGACAGAAGTTATTACGAAGTTTTTTGCAAGTTAACTATTAGTAACATAATTACAAGGACTCCAACTTGTATCAATTGAAACCATGAGCCTTAGTGAGTGAATGCCTCCCCCAAATGTTCTCACCTGTAAGGGAGGTCACGGTCCTCAGAACCAAGGCTGTCACCAGACTCGGCCCGCGGGACACGGGTTCTCTGGAACTTCCCTGGTTTGGGACTCTCATCATGTATGCTACTGCCCTTCATTTCCAATCTAGGCGAGGAAGCAAAACTCTGCAGGGAAGCAGTGGGTATTATTAGGTTTTATGGATGCCACTGATTCTAAATAATTCTGAAGAACTGAATGAATTCTTCTCTATACGAGGAAAATAAATATCACACGAGTCAACTGATTCATCGTAAAAGCAAAACAAACTAAACCAAGTTCCTAAAAAAATAAATAAAAGTTAAAAGATAGCTAAAACCTACACTCATAACCCTCTTTAGAAACAGTTCTAATTGAATCAATTTCCAAACAAAGTTGCAGTTATTCAATATAGGGTGATGACTAATAATATAGCTCGCTCTCACAAGAGCATTAAAGTCAGGTTTGCAGGCTGTCCCTGGCCCTGGAGTTCTAAATGCCCATGCACCCACCTAAACAAAAGGGGACCCCAATGCTATTCAGTTTCTTTATGTCCCGAGCCCGTCTCCTCTTTTCTTACCTCTGGACTTATCACGCCAACTGTCTGTGCCAGCGGAGCAAGCAGCGACATCGAGGAGATATTCAGGGCATCCTCCTGGTCCTCCCCGCTCTCGGCTCCCGCCTGGCCCATCTGCTCCGGGCTCCTGGCCACATCCAGCTCACCTTCCTGCAGGACATCACTGAAGATGTCGTTAATCACTCTCGAACTATTGATGTCATCCTCGTCATCCACGCTCATCTCAATTTCACGTACCACTTCTGAAAAACATTTCAATAAGTGAACGCTGTGATCCAGACCTTTAAAAATCAGAGGGAGAGCAGAAAAGATCTAACAGTCACATGCTTAGTAATAAACAGGGGAAAGCCCTGAAGAAAAGCACCTCCTAAACAAAAAATAACAATAAAATTGACTAACATATGAAACCAAAATTATTTTCAAATTTCCAGTAAGATTTTCTTACCAATAAAAGTGGAAATTATCAAAAGCTGACCCAATGCTTTGGGTGTGAGAAAGATTATTAAGTAAGAACTCAAGATTAGAGCCAAGAGCTTCGGACGTGTAAAACATGTTCTTTCAAAGGACTCTTCTCTGGTGGGAGCTGCCCGTGGAGGCGGCAGTCACTAACAGGAAACATGAGCGTCACTGAGGGCAGGATTCACAGGTGTCTCAGGGCCACTAGCTCCCTGACAGCCCATGGAAGTGCCAGGCAGTGCACTCCCCCCCAACCCCATGCCAGGCGAGGGTAGATTCGACCATGTTTTCACAGCAGTCCGTACCCTAAAAATAGCTGTTTCCGTGCTCTTTTTCTGTGAAGGCTAGAGTACTTCTTTGTAGTTAAAAAAGAGAGAGAATTATAAAATCATAAGCCACTTAGAAATATAGAACGCTGGCCCGGCTGGCGTGGCTCAGTGGTTGAGCATGGACCTATGAACCAGGAGGTGAAGGTTCGATTCCTGGTCAGGCCACATGCCTGGATTGTGAGCTTGATCCCCAGTAGGGTGCATGCAGGAGGCAGCTGATCAATGAGTCTCTCTCATCATTGATGTTTCTCTCTCTCTCCCTCTCCCTTCCTCTCTGAAATCAATTTAAAAAAAAACTTTCTTAAGAAATATAAAACAGCATATAGTGGAGTATGTGCTTCTACTATTATATTATTTCTCATAACATGTTCAGTGCTAGTAAGAAATAAAGAATAAAAACCAACCTGTCTGCTGCTCAACCTTTGGGTCTGATGTTACTTTTAAAGACTTTTCCTCTTCTAAAAACAGTGTTATTTTCAAAGGGCTAGACTTCGTCATTTCACATTCAGTGAAACCTAAAAAAGTTTTAGGGAAAACCATATTAATATTATAAGAACCCAGAACTTTTTGTTTATAGAATCTATCTTTTTTTTCTGATTACAAAACTGGATTTAAAATTTAGAAATGTACAGAGAATACCCCTAAACACCTGCCCTTGCCTATCTCCCCATTTCTCTCTCCAAGAGGAAGGGACATCAATAGAACAGGTTATGTTTGCTCCTCCAGTTTCCCCCTATGGCGATCTATGTGAGCAGCCTTTTGTTTTATCAGCACGTGGACACACTCTCATGCTGTTCTGCAATTTGCTTTTCAATTTTTAGAAAAGTGCTGATAAGAACACTTAAAAAGGGTGCAGGGTGGAGAGGGTCAATGGGGGAAATAAGGACACATCGGTAATACTTTCAGCAATAAAGACATATTTAAAGAAATAAAAACAACTTAAAAAAACCAGCAACGGAGGGAAACGACCCCTCTCTATGAAAGCCCACAGCTAACACTGTCCTCTGTGAAGGACTGAAAGCTCTTCCTCCAAGATCAGGAACAAGACAAAGAAGCCACTCTCACCACTGCCAGTCAACAAAGCCGTGGGAGCCCCAGTCCAGCCGGGCACAGGGTTACGGGTCAGCACAGTGTCTTTAAGCTCCCGCTGCCCGCCACTCAGGTCACTGAGTGCCATGACCGCGGCTGCAATCCCCTCTGCACACAGCACGTCTCTGCACTCTGGCCCCAAGGCTCCAACCTGCCCGCACTTGCAGAGAAGCTGAGGTAAAGGGCCTGCACCCCTCCCAGCTCCAGACGACAGTGGCAGTGCTCACACTCCCGGCGAGAGGCTGCCTTCTCACTCTGGACGCAGAGCCGAGAAGCAGAGCGTGGCCAGAAGGAAAAAGTGTGGAAATGAAGGGGCGAATCGGCCTTTTCCCACTAGAGCAGCGTTCCGACTGCCAGCCCGTGTCCAGAGCTCCCGCAGTGAAGCGGGAGGAGCGCTGACCTGCGGGCTCTGGGCTGGGGGGCTGTGCTGGCGTCTGCTCTCCTGCCGCCTTCTCCTTTTCTGCTACTGGACCGGACCGGGTATTTGAAACAACTTGATGTTTTCTGAGGGGAGTGTTCTGAGAGTGAATTTCCTGCAAAAAGCGAGTGAAGAGATACATTTTACTTCTCAAAACGACAGATTTTTGTCTTTTTATGTGTTACTAAGTGAAACAAACCAGTCATTACTCTACATAAGCTTCCTCAGAACAAAACAGACAACGTGTGTGTGTGGAAGGCCTGGCCACGTTCAGAACACGAGCCCTTGGCGCTAGTTCCGTTCTGGAGATTCTCCGGATGTGAGTCAGAGAGTAGGAGGCAAGGGAGAATGGAAATCTGCATCGGGTTCAGCTTCAGAGAAACCATTCAAGTGAAAGTCATGTGTGTGGAAAACAACTCCCCCGTGTCACTCATCACAGCCCACATCTGTAAGACTAGGGACGTCCTGGCCGGTTGCTCGGCCCGCAGACTGACAGGTCTCGGTTTGATTCCAGGCAAGGGCACACACCTGGGTTGCAGGCTCAAGCCCCTGCCCTGACCAGGGGCACATGCAGGAGGCAACCAATTGGTGAATCTCTTTCTCTGTCTCCCCCCTCCCCCTTCCATTCTCTCTAAAAATCATTGGGGCGGGGGGGGGGAGGGGGGGGGAATACCCTTAGATGAGGATTAACAAAAAACAACAATTAGGGACAGTTCCTACCTCCAGATTCCACTTACCAGTTACTCTGTGGGTAAAATGCGAAGAAAACAGCAAAGGACAAAAGAAGATCATAAGGAAAAAAGAGGTCTACCCAATGTGGCTCAGTGGCTGAGTGTCAACCCATGAACCAAAAGGTCACTGGACCGATTCCCAGTCAGGGCACATGCCCAGAGTGGTGGGTTCAATTCCAAATTTGTGGAGTGCAGGAGGCAGCCACTCAATGCTTCTCTCTCATCATTGATGTTTTTATTTCTTCCCCTCTCCCTTCCTCTCTGAAATCTATACATGTTTCTCTCATATCGATATTTCTATCTCTCTATCCCTCTCCCTTCCTCTCTCTCTAAAATCAATAAATACCTATTTTTTTAAAAAAAGAAAAGGAAAAAGAAAAAAATTCCTTTATCTGAGTCATTTTTAAAAAATACTTATAAAGCTATGCAAAAGAAACATTCATTGCTTGTTTGCTTTTGAAAAGGTTGTGATTAAAGCAAGAGAAGAAATAAGAACAGCAGCGAATACTTCCATAGAGCTTCACATGTGTCAGTCATCTTTCTATTCTACACACTTCACATTATCGCCTCATCAGATCCTCCCAATAACTTTCTAGGATCAGTACTAATGTCTCCATTTTACAGATGAGAAAACTGAGACACAGGAGAGTTAAGTAACTTGCATACTCAGCTAGTAGCCTGATGTACAAACACACAGCACATTATCAAATACTGTGCTGCAGACTGTCTTAAGGGTAAGCAAGAAGTTTGAGAAGGGGCAGGCAGGGCAGGTGCATTTCAGAAGTGAGAACAATGGGCTGAGCGCACCTGGAGAGTAAAAAGCTTCGGGTTTGTATACAATAGGCACTCAGACATTAGCTGAATAACTGAATGAGTGGTGGTAATGAAAAGCAATGGCATTCATTCTCAAAGGTGTAAATCATGGCTTTGAGAACAGCGCCAGACAAACTCACTAAGCCTCATCCTTCCATTGTGGATGGGGCCCAAGAATAAACGTGGGGTAAAGGAGGAGGCCAGGTCAGAGGTCTGGTCAGAAGCCCTGGTTCCCACACACCAGCTGTGCCACTTGCACAAGTGGTTTACCTCCTGGGGCTTAGTCCTCACCCAGAAAGGGGGGAGTGTTACCTTCCAGGGTTAGTGTGGGGATTAGATGATACCATGCATTATTGGCGCCCACCAGAGGCCTGGCATGGAGAGCCAGGGCTGTCCTTCCTCCTTTCGTCATCACTCGCCTATCTGTCTACATTACCTGTTTGGTTTCTAGTTGTTTGCTTCTGGAGTTTTCGCCTTTTTCTGCACTCCATAAATTGCCCTTGTCAAATCGGCCACGAAGACATGCTAGTTCTTTTTCACGTTCCTAAAATCATCAAAAGCTCTATTTTACACAAAAGCCAATAGTAGGTTTAAGAATAATATCCAAACACTACTAACTTGGCTTGTCTTCAGTTTTAAGAGGAAAAAAGTCACAATATAAAGGAATACAGAACAATTGTATTTCTAATTTGAAATACATAATACAGAGAACCAAATGCTATTTATTCAGTCAAAAGGAATGGTATGGGAATACACGACTTGATGTCTGTACGTTCTATGCTGAGACTGTGGCATGGGCAATGTGAAGGCAGTAGGATGTACGCACCTGCTTGAGCCTCTGGGCTACGTGGGTAGTAGATGAAGATGTGTTTTGCTTTAACAGTCTTTCCTGGATGGCCTTGGTGCTTGGAGTGACCACGGGGGTCCTGTGGGGTGTGCTCTGCGTGGGGCTGTCTTTGCTGCGTTCTAGACAGCGCTCGCCGAAGCGCTCCAGAAACGGCTTGACTCCCGCTCCTACAGAAAACACCACATTATTGGAGGCTATTCAGAATAAGTAACCATTATCATTTCTACGGGGAAGTTCTAAATGCCTGTACAGTTCCAAAAGTGCTTTGACTCTACCAGGATTATTCATTCAGAAAGTAAACAATATATGCCCAGGTGGTGTTGCCCAGTGGTTGAGCATCAACCCATGAACCAGGAGGTCATGGGTTCGATTCCCAGTCAGGGCACATTCGGGGGGTGTGGGCTTGATCCCTAGTAGGGGGTGTGATGTTTCTATCTCTCCCTTCCTCTCTGAAATCAATAAAAAAATACATTTTTTAAAAAGTACAGAGGAAAGTATCTAGCACAGTCATTCTAAGGAAAACGCATGTTTAAACTGCTTTGACCAGTAACTGGACTGAACTACACTAATAAACAGTCACTCTACCAATTAAAGCTGAATTTGAAGATGTCTCATCCGAGCATTCAGCACTTGCCCTGGCAAACCAACCCTGTGCCATTCAAACTGGGTATTTAAAATGCTGAGAACAGAAACCCTGAAAACTTTAGATTTTTTAAAAAAAATACATAACCTGGTGTTGTAGATTTGTCTTTAGAGTGAGATTGCAGACAAGTTCCTCTATTTACTTCTTCTTTGGGTCGAACTGTCTGGGATTCAGCTGATTTCCCGATTGGTTTCGATACCTCAGTTTTCAAAGGACTAGCAGGAGTTTTTTGAAGTCGCTCAGGTTTTCGTACCTCACAATTTTTAGCATTGGTGACAGATATAGAAGCTTTCACAGGGGAAGAAGCAGCTTTCTGAAACATGAAAACACTTGGGATAAATACAGCACTCAAATGCCTAAAGATAGTCCCATAACAACAACGCAAATTCTACTTGCTTGGTAGCCTACGTAAACGCATGAAACAATGTTGTTGTTATCTAATAGATCAAGCCAATGTGAAAGGTTTGAGAAAAAAAATCAACTTGGAAAATACTGTAATTCAAATTATGCTGTATAGAGCTTGTGGGTTTAGTCCCTGGTCGGGGTGCTACGGGAGACAACCAATTCATGTTTCTCTCTCCCTTTACAATAAATAAAAACATATATGTATTTTTATTGCATCATGTACTTGCTGACTAATGATAATAAAGGCAGTACTCACTAGTGCCAAGCCCTATGCTAAGTGCTCTGTGCACATCACCTCGCTTCACCCTCCCCAGAACCCTTTCCTAGGTTCTGCAAGACAAAGCCTTGTCCAAGGCCACACTTCTAACGATGTGGCAGGGCTGGGACTGCACGCAGGCTAATTCCAGATCCCAGCGCTACACTCAATGACGATGCGCAGTACACAACATTCTTTTTCTTTTTTGTTTTTTTAAAAGATACATTTTTTA